GTTAATCAGGATAAATCAAAAAAGGGAACATGTATTCTTAAAGATGGCCTGAGTGGTAATTTTCAGACAATAATGATGGTCACCATATCTCTAGTAGATAGTTAGTATAACCATATTGTTAACACTTTGACGTATGTTCATCGAACAAAGGAAATTAAGAAACATTCAGGTGAGAATCCAATCTATAGATGTCTAGGAACTTTTATAAGTAATATATTTGATACATGAGCATATGAATAAGTTGCAGTTTGTAATATAGTTGCTACATGTTGAAATTAAATTTCTTTTTCAATTGTTATATTCTGCAAGATAGAGGGTATTTATTTAATAATTATGTTACTGCCATTTTTTTGTTGTTGTATGGCAGTTTGGTTTCATAATTATTTGCTAATAAGAAACTAGAAGTTTGTTGTATTAGGATCAATCACAAAAATTTTCCTATATTATTAGTAACACGAACAAAAAAAGTTAAATATATGTTAGCACTCATACTGCTCTTTGAACATTGTAGGTTACCAAACGGAGATGCCTTTTACCATCTACAAATTGCTAAAGCTAAGGATTGGAGATGCCTCTTACCAGCTACAAATTGCCCCCAATTGGTTAAATACATTTGAAATTTGTTTAATTTGAGTGTTATGTTATACATGGTGGTATGCTTGAACAGCACAATAAGACATAACTGTGAAATTGTGCAAATAGTGAATTCCTATGGCATTTTCATAATATGCTTTTGTAGATTTTTTTAAAATTATAATAATTATTTTCTGACCACCATTGGTGGTCAGAATAATTTTTTTTTTGTTTAACTTCATTATTTTCCGACCACCGGTGATCGGAAAATACGAAAATGTATTTTTCTCACACCGACCAAACTTTCCGACCACTTTACAATTGCGGATGCTATTTCTGATCACTTCATGTGGTGGTTGGAAATACTGAGAGGAGTTTTTCCGGATCCCCAAAGTGGTCGGGAAAGTGGCCGGAACAAAAGTTTCCGGCCGAATTTTGGCTATTTCCAACCACTTTTTGGTGGTCGGAAAATTCGCAAATTCCAGCAGTGTGTTAGAACACACATCTTTCCTCAAGGTTAAACTGAAGTCCCGTGAATAGGGATGGCAATGGGGCGGGGTGGGTGCAGGGGATATATCCCCCGCACCCGCGCGGGTAACGAAATTCCTACCGCATACCCGCCCCCGTGGGGATTTAGCGGGTGCGAGTAATACCCAACTCGCAACTTTAATTATTAATATTACACTTAAATCTAATAAAAAAAGTTATACTACAATTCTAATTATCACATGGATTTTTTTATAAGTTCGAACATAAGTCTAAAATTTAATAAGAGCCAATGAAGTTAATCGTTAATTGGAACTAAAATTGTGTTGATAGTATAAATTGTATTAAGTGTTTACTCATTTTGTTATTTGTGTTGTTCCTATTCAATTTTCATTAACAAAAAAAAAAACTAAGAAGTTTAATTCTTTATGCATTTTAATTATAAAATATACATAAACTTATATAATAAATGATGAATACTAATAACAATATATATAAGTGCGGGTGCGGGTGTGGGGCGGGGATACCTCCCCCCGCACCCGCCCCCATACCCGCGCAGGTATAAAAAATTTTCCCCATACCCTCACCCATTACCCAAATTGTGCGGGTATTTTAAAACCCGCAGGGGCGGGAATGCGGGGAACCCATTGGGTGCGGATAGAATTGACATCCCTACCTTGAATACATCTTTGCACATACCAGTCCTCATCAATAGATTCAACTATGTTCTGCAACTCTCTTCAACACCCTATACTATCCCTTATATAGTTCTAAAATCTTAACACATAAATGGTAGCTTCTTTCCATATATTAGAGCTCACTACTGCCATATAACTAATCACTACTGTTAGTTAAACTTCAGACAGTCGCCAAGATTTTCTTAGAAACTGTTAGAGCAGTTTGAACCTTCCTTAGCAGTTAAAAAGCTCTTTGTAACCTCTCAGAACAGTATTCTTCTCTTTTCAATGAAACAGTGTTCTTTCTTTCTTTTGCTCCTTCATTCGTGTTATGGTATCAGAGCTTTGAAACATGGCTTGGAATGGAGCAACGAGTTCAGTCAGACCTCCGGGGTTCAATCAGACTGCAGTTCCGGCAGCAGTCGCTCCGACGGTAGCTCCGACGATCGGTACAAATGCGATTTTCAACCCGAATGACTCTGCGAGTCCCTATTTCTTGCATACTAGCGAAAATCCAGCGTTGATTCTCGTCTCCGCAGCCCTAGATGGACGAAATTACCACCCCTGGGCCAGGGCAATGGAAATGGCCCTCCTCTCCAAGAACAAGTTGGGGTTCGTGGATGGAACCCTAGCAACGCCAGACGTAAACGACATCAGATTCCCTTACTGGAAAAGGTGCAACAACATGGTTGCAACTTGGATTATGCGTGCGCTTTCACCAGAAATTGCTTAGACTGTTCTTTGGCTAGGAACTACTGAAAGAGTTTGGAAAACTCTAAAATCACGATTCGAAGAAGTTGATATATTCTGGATCTCAGATTTACATGTCGAAATTCATCAGGTTCGATAGGGAGACCTCAATGTGGGTGCTTACTTTGCAAAATTGAGGGTCCTGTGGGACGAACTACAAGTTATAAGGCCCCTACCTACTTGCAATTATATCTTGACAGTGACAACCTGTCTGTGTTCTTGAGAGCATTAAACGATAGCTATGCTTCAGTTTAGTCGCAGGTCATGATGATAAAGCCTTTGCCCTCTGTTGATGAGGCATTCTTGATAGTCCAGCAGGAGGAAAGGAGATTCAACATTGGGATAGGTTATACACCACAAGCAGTGGACAATTTGAGTGCAGGTAGTGTTCTTTTATCCCAAGCTACAGGGAGCAATTCAGGCACCAAGAAATTCTATCCCAGTAGAAACAAAAAACCTGTCTGCACCTACTGTGGCTACACTGGTCACACAATTGAGAAGTGCTATAAGAAGCACGGATACCCTCCCGGTTGGAAGCCAAGAAACAAGAACATGGGGACAGTTAATAAAGTTCATATAACTACTCAAGTGCCATAAGAGGACACTATCTCTCTCTCCCAGAATGAGTATATGTTGTTTAAGCAGATATTGCAATGGGAAAACAGTGCTTACAGCCAGAACTCTCCTCTGGACTTGGAAACCAGACCACATGCAAATTTGATTTCTGCAAATTTTGTTCCCAACACTCAGCTAGAAGGTAACTCTCTGCCCTTATCTAGTGATAAAGTGCCTTGGATCTTGGACAGTGGTGCCACACATCACATTGTTTGTAGTAGGCACATTCTAACAGAGGTCAACAATGTTGAAGGTTTGCATGTTGAACTTCCTAATGGAAGTAAGACTGCCATCACACACATAGGGACAGTAACTCTGTCAAATGACTTAATATTGAAGAATGTTTTCTGTGTGTCTGAGTTTCATTTCAACCTGATATCAGTCAGTCAATTAATCAAGGGTTCCAAATGTAAATTGGTGTTATACTCTGACACATGTATCATACAGGATCAAGCCCTTGGGAAGATGATTGGGCATGCTAGGTTGGAAAGAAGTCTATATCACTTAGTGGAACCTGATTCTTTTGCTTCTTTTGATTCTTTGCAAAGCATTAGAATAAATGTATGTAATACAGATAGATTGTGGCATGCCAGACTAGGTCACATTTCTTATTCAAAAATGAAAATGATGCAATTGTATAAACCTGGTTTGAAGTCAAATAAAGATACAGCTTGTGATATATGCCATTTGGCTAAGCAAAAAAGGTTGTCTTTCCCTGTTAGTACTACTGCTTCGCTTAATTGTTTTGATCTTGTCCATGTTGACATATGGGGGCCATATGGTGTGTATACCATATATGGTCATCAATACTTCTTGACCATTGTGGATGATTATAGCAGACTAACTTGGGTATTCTTGATGAGGGGCAAACATGAGGCTAGGAAGCTTGTTGGCCTTGTTCAAGATTTCTGCTGTGTCTTGATTCACACACAATTTGGGAAGAAGGTCAAGTGTGTTAGATCAGATAATGGGCAGGAGTTCAAGTTGGATAAGTTTTACCAAGAGAGAGGGACAATCCATAAGACATCCTGTACTTACACACCTCAGCAGAACAGTGTGGTAGAAAGGAAGCATGGGCATATTTTATGTGTTGCAAGAGCCCTGAAGTTTCAAGCAAGCCTACCAGAGTGTTTTTGGGGAGACTGTATTCTGCAAGCTGTCTACTTCATTAACAGAATACCTTCAGATGCCTTGCAAGGTAGAATTCCATACCAAATGCTTTTTGGAAGCTCTCCTCAATTCAACCACATTAAAGTCTTTGGTTGCTTAGCCTATGCTGCTAATCTCAGTGGATACAAGACTAAATTTGCCCCAAGGGCAAGGAAGTGTGTTTTTCTAGGTTACCCTAATGGTGCGAAGGGATACAAGTTGTATGATTTACATACTAAGGAAGTCCTGGTGTCCAGGGCTATAGTGTTTTATGAAGAAAACTTCCCTTATGAAGCTCAACACAGTTCAGGTAGCCAGGGGATTAACAATCCTATTGTTCTACCTAATACTAGCCCTACAACAGATGAACACCTACCAAAACCTCTCCCAGATCTTAATGTTACCCCACCATCCATTCCAAATGGCATCCCTCTACCCACTAATTCCCAAGATGACAATATGCCAACCCATAACTCTGAGAACCCTGCACCACACAATCCTGAAGTCCCCACCATTGAGCCACACCAGCAACAAGTCAGAAGATCTACCAGACAAGTATCTAGGCCAACATATCTCTAAGATTATGATTGCCAACTTCCTAGTAGAAAAACCACCCCTCATACCTTATCTACTGTCCTAACCTATGAGAAACTTTCTCCTAAATTTAGGACTTTTGCCTTGAATGTGCTTGATGTAGCTGAACCTAAAAACTACAATGAAGCTATTCAACATAACTGCTGGAAACTGGCTATGCAAGCAGAATTAGATGCACTTCAAGCCAACCAGACTTGGGAACTCACTACTCTCCCCCCTTCCAAACAAGTCATTGGTTGCAGGTGGGTCTACAAAGTGAAGTATAAATCAGATGGAACTATAGAAAGATGCAAAGCCAGATTAGTAGTTAAAGGGTACACACAAACCTGTGGATTGGACTATATTGACACTTTCAATCTAGTAGCAAAGATTACATCCATAAGAACCCTACTTGCTATGGCAGCTGCCAAAGGATGGAAACTACATCAGCTAGATGTAAACAATGCATTCCTCTATGGTGATCTTCATGAGGAGGTATACATGCAACTTCCACCAGGCTTTGTGGCACAACATTCAGGACAAGTATGCAAACTGACCAAGTCACTTTTTGGGCTCAAACAAGCTAGTAGGCAGTGGAACTTTAAACTCACAGCTAAACTGATTTCTTTGGGTTTTAAACAAGCTGTCTGTGACAACTCCCTATTCACAAAAGGTTCTGGTGATAACCTGGTAGCTCTGCTTGTATATGTTGATGATTTCATTTTGGCAAGTAATGATGGAAACCAGATCCAACAGATCAAGGACCATCTCCATGCTACTTTCCAGATTAAAGATTTGGGAAATTTAAGGTTTTTCCTTGGTCTGGAGGTGGCTAGAACACACAAAGGCATTGCAATTAGTCAGAGGAAGTATGCTTTGGATCTGCTAACAGAAACTGGCTTCTTGGGTAGCAAACCTGTGAAGACTCCCATGACTCAGACATTAAAACTGTCCCAAACTGATGATACACCATTGGAAAACAACACACAGTTCAGAAGACTTATTGGTAAGTTGTTATACTTAACCATTACAAGGCCAGACATCTGTTTTGCAGTTCAACAATTGTCTCAGTTTCTAGACAAACCTACCACTACACATCTACAAGCAGCTCACAAAGTTCTTAGATATATCAAGCAATGTCCAGCTCAGGGTTTGTTCTTCTCAGCAAAATCCAGCCTTAGACTAAGTGGATTTGCAGATTCAGATTGGGCAGCCTGTCCTAACACTAGAAGATCTGTTACAGGCTTCTGTATGTTCCTAGGGGAAACACTGATTTCCTGGAAATCTAAGAAGCAAAGTACAGTCTCTAGGGCCCTTAAGTACTGATTATATATGTAATTTTTTATGGAGTAAATACCAACGGACATCCTCCGACTTTGATGGCACCACCACTTTTAGTCCTCTACTTTTAAATTCACCACCATTAGTCCTCTTAGTTTTGATTTCATTCCATATGGGGTCCTTCCGTTAGATTAGGCCGTGTAACCCCGTTATGTCAAGGATACAATTGTCTTTTCACCATTGTTGAAAATTGAAATTATTACTTTGTTTTCAAACTTCGGCTTGGTGAGGAGTCTTTTCCCCGTTATACTCAACTCGTACATGCATTTTTGGTCTCCTCCAGAATCAATTTTCCACACTCTTAACAAAATCCTTGCTCAAAGATGCTAAATATTCCCTAAATTCCCGAAAGAGCTCCAGCAAACGAACTGCACATTCGATACATGTCCTTGTTATCAAGATGAAGAACAAATTAAATGCTTAGTCAGATTTCGATTTGGGAAAACACCATTTAAAGATCAAAATATGAGTGATAAAATCTCATCTTGCCTTCAAAGGGTATCTGCAGGTTTGGGTAGTTTCAACGTCTATCAACGATACACCATTTCCTACTGCTACAGCAAGAAACCTTCCACGGGTGGGCTGGAACCTGACTTGACTTGCAAGAACCTGAGATGATTTTGGAAAATATATAGAATTTATGAAAAATAAAAAAAAATTCAGCAAATAAATTATCAATCGATTCAGTCCAAGAAAACTCGACAAAATCATGAAGAACAAGTGTGTTGAATGCCAACATCCTCCTCCGATCCGCTTCCTCAACCCGAATGTCCACCTCTACCGTCATCCCCATCGCCTATTCTACCGCCATCCCCATCGCCTATTCTACCGTCATCCCCACCGCCTATTCTACTCTCACCACCACCACATACTCTGTCATCACCACCATCTGTTGAGAAAGTTGGGCAATGATTACAATAAAAATATATAATAGCGGTAACAGACCGTGGAAGAAAAGGGCAAGAATTTGATGGAATTTGCTGTTGCCACGCCCAGATTATGTTGTTGAACGGAAATTGCACTGCCTAGGAACAGAGCTGCTATACTGCTGCTTGGAATTAATCAGCTGGCGAAGAACAATTCGCTGCCAAGAATTAATTGCCAGAAAGAGGATGCCGTCCGAAAAATTGCACTGCCTCCAAGGATTTGCGCCGAAGGAGATTTCGCTCGCAGATTGCAAAGATAATCCTCCGTCGTTGAACAGACGCTCCTTCTTTCGTATTTGTTCTGTCGTTCTTCGCTAATGCTATTACCGTACCTTCCACCACCACCTCCGCCATCAATTCTGTCGGCAGCGCCACTGCCATCTGCAGTCCACCACCTCCTTATACATAACGGGGTAATAATTTCAACAATTTTGAAAAGACAATCGTATCGTTGACATAAAGGGGTTACACCGCCTAATCTAACGGAAGGACCTCATATGGAATGAAATCAAAATTAAGAGGACTAATGGTGGTGAATTTAAAAGTATAGGACTAATGGTGGTGAATTTAAAAGTAGAGGACTAAAAGTAGCAGTGCCACAAAAGTCGGAGGATGCCCGCTGGTATTTACTCTTTTTTATGCTATTAATTTATTTATTTCAAATTTTCTATTAGAGTTTTGTTATAAAGTACTCCTTCCGTCCCATTTTTATGTGTCTGATTCGGTTAACAAGGCTTGACTGGATTATTTTTAATTAAAAATTTCATACTATTAAGTTTAGTATTAGTATACAAAATTTATATATTTAGAAACTACACTAAAATTAAAGTACTATTAAACACACAAAAAAAAATTAAATTTAAAAATAATTAAAAATACTACCAAAAATAAACAAAGAAAAAAGAGTTGGTTTGAATAATGATAGTAAGTAGGACAGATAAAATGGGACAAAAGGAGTAATACATTTATGCTAGGAAGCATTATATATAAGGCTTAAAGCTAAGTATTGGTGATGTATATAATTTATGTTATTACTTTATTTCTTGCAAATTGTCTAGTAGAGCCAGAAAAGAAGAGGTTGGATATATAACTACAAGAAAAATCGCAATTCGCAACAAAATTTATTCTTGTCGCCGATTCTGTAGCTAAATCGCGACGGAACCATTGGTCGTTGCCTTTTCCGTCGCTATCGTGGTGACAGAACTTAATTCTGTCGCAAAATCCACAACCAAAATGGGGCGGCAAAATTTTCTGGTTTTTTTTTTTCCACTTTATGCCAAAAATTGTATGAAATTGCATTCCGTCACCATTTCCGACGCAAAATTGCGACGGAACGTACCGTCATGAATTGGCAACGGATTACGTTCCGTCGCAATTCGTGATTTTCGTGATTTTTCTTGTAGTGATAAATCCAATAAAATGAGTTGAAGTGAATTTTTTTTTTTTAAAAAAAATAAGGAATTAAGTTGATTATAATCTAGATGATTCATTTATATATGATTGAATTCTAGTGATTCCTACTTCAAACATGGGATCTCTCGTCTCATCTCAATTAAGAAGGGTCGTGGAAATAACGTTAATAGATTCAAAATCATGATCAATTCCTTTTTCAAATCCAGTTACAGCGGCACGAGGCCTTCCCACATGCCACAAATGTCCTATGGAGAAGAAGAATCCTAGAACAAAATGCGAGGTACCTAACTAGTTTTGTTATAAATACAACATTTATGATATAAAGTATTATTATAAGACTTAAAGTATTTATTATATTTAAAATTGTGTTATAACCTATTTTTATTATTAAATCTGATCCGTCTCACAAATTGAGATTCGTGAGACGTCTCATAGGATCGGAGACCAGCTCTATAGACTTATTTGTTTTCTTTAGACTAATAGAGTTGTAAATGAATTTTAATTTTTAGTATTATAAATGTTTTTTGTTGTTTCTTCAGCCATGAACTTTATGATGTCATTATTGTCTTTGGTTTTGTTGTATAGAACTACCTTTTTATTAATATATTTATTTCATCATTCCAATTGAAAAAAAAAAAAAACAAAAAAAAAAAAAAAAAACCATAGTAACGATCAATAATGTAGATTATAGCGCAGCCTCCGAAATCGACACTATGTCTATATATAGTGTACGAAATGGGCTAAAACTGAGTACAGATCGATGGATACATCATTTTTTAAAAAAAAAATAATTCCATCACCTAGACAGCTGACCACAATACTACATAATCATTATCATTAATATTATTTGATATATATATATAAGCTAGCTTGGTCAGACAAAAGAACTAACGGCAGATCGATAGGTTTTTCCGGGCTGCCAACCGGCCGGAATGACGTTGTTGGCGACGAGAGTCTTGCCGGAGTCATCGGTGAGTTTGAGAGAAAATGGCGCTTTTAGTCCATAGCCGTCGTCAAGCTTCCACACTGCACCCCAAGACTCTTGCATGGGAAGCCATGAATCCGAGTCCAAAGCTTGCTTCAGTTCTACGCTACTCACAACTCCTTCGCCTCCTTCGTATTCAATCAGAGCTGCAAAATAGTTGGGGTTGGAACCAGAATCCACGTGAAACGTCAGTGATACTCCCGGATACTTGCACTCAACTCTGTAATTGCATGTACCAATACACAATAATTAATTTGAATTAAATTTACAAGATGAGATGTGAACATGACAGAAGCAAAGGCCAAGTCTAGCACTCAGTGCTGGGGATTGTTAGGTGAAGGCCGGTAAAGGATTTAAAGGGCCAACTCCATCATCCATTCAGCGTCTCAAAAATGTGATTACTGTGCTGATCTATAAAGAAATAAAGTTGTATTTTCGCTACTAATTATCATTTTTGGTGAGTGTTTGATCTAGCAAGTGGTATCAGTGTCAGGCCACAAATTCGGGTCAGGCGAAAGGTCAATAAAGTAGTAACATTTAAGACTGGTTGGTGCTGAAAAGAGAGAATTGTTGACCCAAGTGGCTAGAGGATTATTGGTTGGAGATCCAAGTGCTTGATCGTAACAAAACAAGACAAATTAAACTACCTTCTATATTGAATGTTGAGCACTCCGGCATCGCGGAGCTGATAGGCTTTGCCGGAATCTGCCATGGCTCCAAAAGCAGTGCCACTCATATCGAAATGAGTTGATTCTGATACACATCCCGGACACTCATCGGTTATAACCACGGTCACCGGATTCCCGGAGCATGCTGCATTTTCCGTGCACTTAACCTCATAACAAGCTCCACATCCTTTCCCAGAATTGAATAGAGAAGGACCACCAGCTGATACTAAGGAAGAGAACGGAGGCTGGTCTACACTGTTTGTGTATCCACAAGCTCCACCTATATATATATACACATTCACACAACACAATGAAGTTCAGTTTTTTTCTGATCGAAAAACATTCTAAACCAATTAAACACAGTGCAATATGCAATTTAATTTTAGGTACGTACCGTCACTCCCGGCACCATTGGGGTTTCCATACCATGTGGCGCCGGCAGGGGACCAGCCACCGGAATCGGAATGGGATTTGGAGACCTTGAAGTTCTTGGGTTTGAAGTGCTTGTGTTTGAAGGAAGAGCAAGAAATGGAAAGAGTAGAAAAGAGTAGGAAATAGGTAATGAAATGAGGCATTATTGTGATTAGTTTTACTTAATTGCAAATCTAAATCACTTACTAAGTATGCCTATTCTACTTCTCAAGTTGTGTGAAGTTGGGCTAGCTTGATGAATGAACATACACTTACGTGCTTTTTATATAGATCAATGGGGGCTGGGGCTATATTTGTCATTGCAAAACAATTCTTTGAATTTTTTTTTTATTTGGATAACAACGAAAATCTACAATTACTACTTGAGACTTGAGAATGTGTAATAATAGGTAAAGCCTCACCTTGTAACATTAGGTAAACGTAAACCAACATAAAAAGAGGAATATATAGGTCATACCTAATAATAATCACTTAATTGGTTGCCCATAATTCAATTCTTTGAATTCTTTGCTCTTTAGAAATTGGTCATCCCATGTCAGAATAAAATAGGAAAATTACGGTGTACATAGTTGTGTGGATCACGGTTCAAAATGATATCGTTTTAATGTTTAAAAAAAATTGTGTGCTATGCGGGCTAATGTGCTCGAATAATGAATTTTCTGGGGTAAGATAATGTATGTTATGAATTAGAATAATGTACTTTAATTTATATGTTAGAATAATATACTTTATGAGTTAAAATAATGCACTTGCTTGAATTATATACTGCAATATTGTTTCCAAAAGGTTGAACCCCAACCCTATGGGCCCCCCCGCACCCCGACCCGACAGAGCATCTGGGAAGATGTAAATCATGGTAACTCAACTGAACATGAACCACAAAGGTTAGACCTGTGCTTACACAAGGAGCCCCTCACTTTTATATACTGAAATAGTGCAATACTCTTCCAAAAGGTTGATCCCCAATCCTAAGGGCCCCCACACTTCGACCCGATAGAGTATTTGGGAGGATGTAAATCATGGTAACTCAACTGAACATGAACCACAGAGGCTAGACCTTAAATAGTACAATATTGATATTGGTATATGTTGCGGGTATTTAATTATATAAAACAACAGCCCGGATGGAACTTCAAATGGGAGTTAGTCTCTGAAGTAATTATGAAATACCTAAAAACGGAAAAGAAAAAAAAAAAGTCTTGTAATAGTATTCCTGAAGCAACTTTCAACGACAGTAGAGAATGTCGCAAGAAGAAGCTAGGGAATCGATTTAAATTGGCGCAAAATAAGGACATTATGATATTGACTGGTTTGGCGTGTAAATTGTTGGAAACTCTCGAGCCGGCCGCCATGTTCTGTTACCCTTCCATTATCATTTTTATTGACTGCTTCATTGCTAATTTTAATTTTGTCTTATTTCAATTCTTTGTTAAACCATAATGTTTAATGAGTACTTTTCTTTTGATTAACATATGCAAAAATTAGTTAACTCAAAGAATGACCATTGATCGAGTATCACCAGAGGCAGTGTGGGAGCAACCTCTCAAAGTGAGAGGGGCTCAATAAGCAAAGGTCTAGCTTCTGTGGTTCATGTATGTTCAGTTGAGTTACCATGATTTATATCCTCCCAGATGCTCTGTCGAGCCGAGGTTTGGGGAGCCCTTAGGGTTGGGTTCAACCTTGTGGAAAGAACTCATATAGCCATATAAGTAATCAATGAACATATATGAAGATAGATGATATATATATTCAGGGACGGAGCCAGAAATTCAGTTGAGGGGGAAGAAGTACAGATAGATTCAGAAATTTTTTCCAGTAAAGATGAACATTAAAACAAAAGAGATAATTAAAAAAAAAATTACCTAAAAAATATAGTTGTAAATATTGTTGGATATGAGCGAAAAATAAACACATCGAAAATTTTAAAAAATATGAAACAGTAAAACTATGTTAATAGTAATAAGATTTGAACACTTAATAACCCTTACTATTACTAAATATGTGCTCAGCCAACTAATCTAACTCATTTCTTATTAACATTTAATAGTTTTTTATACTAATACTAAAACTTGAACTATATATATATATACACATACAAAATTATATATGGAGTGGGGTGGGGGTGAGGTGAGGGGGACAGCTGCCCCCGCCCCGCTTTGGCTCCGTCCATATATATATATATATATATATATGTGTGTGTGTGTGTGTGTGTGTGTGTGTGTGTGTGTGTGTGTGTGTGTGTGTGTGTGAGATTAAGCTAGCTAACATATAGAGTTAAAATGAAATTTCTTTGTCTATTAATTAGTTTGTGTATTTAGTTTACTTTATAACGTAACATACACTTTTAGTCATCCTGTATTATGATATTTTCATATTCAGCCATCCTCTTTTAATTGTCTCAATATATATATATATATATATATATATATATATATATATATATATATTTTTACTTTTATTTGTTTGTCACAATTAGTCTATCATTTAATAAATAAAACTAAAATGTAATTTTAATAATATTCTAGCATCTTATCCCAACATTTAATTTCTTTCCCTCTCTTGTAAACTATTGTAATTGAATAATGAAATTAAATGTTAGTCATATTTATTAAACGATAGAATGATAGAAATTTAAATAGATGACTAATTGTAGTAAACAAATGAAATTCAGAAGTAGTGTAATAAGACAATTTAAAAAACATGACTAAATTTGACAATGTCACAATAGTTGAAAACTTAAAAGTGAAATTTGTTCTATTTGAATTTTATGTTACAAGCTAACACTCATAATTAAGTTGGAATTCATATTTATTATCTTAGCAAAAGGTTTAATATATGTTTAAATCCTACATCATACAGTATGAATTTAGGCATTGACACGTTTCTACAATCATATTATTGAGTTTGAAAATTTTATAAATTGAAATAAAACGAATGTTTAGTTATATAAACAGTAAGGAATAAATTGCATATCTTATCATTTTTTTTTGAGTTAATTCCATTTTTTTTCTATCTTAGATTTATAAGTATTAGTCTATTTTTATTTTATTTTTTTTATTCAAAACATCCCCACTTGGTCCTAGTATTATTGTGACATTGCATGTTCATTTTTTATCTTCCGTCAACAAAACCGTTTAAATGCCTAACGCCTACTGCAACCATGCCAATAATAAGTCTATTGCAAAACTCAGAAAAGTGAAATTCAAAAAACCCACAAGTCTATTTCATGACAAACTTTAAATCTACTGCATAAGTCTACTTCATAAAATTTCACAAGACTTCCTAAGCTCCCCTTAATAATAGATTGATTTGAAAATTTTTTGAAGTAGATTTGTGGATAATTATTGTGAAATAATGTTGTGAATTTTTATGAGGTAGACTTAAGGGTTGCCATTAAGCAGACTTGTGATTTTTTTCAATTTCACTTTTTTTTTTTTAGTTTTACAGTAGATTTATGTATTGGTAATAATTTTAACTCCATTATTATGCTATGAATGAATTATGGATTATTTATGCTATCAACAAATGTATGATTAATGTATATGATTTTTTGAAGATGTAGTACCTTTGTATTGTGATATTACCAAGAAGACAAAAGAGAGAATTTTTTAATAGTTAATTACGTCATTTTAAATGTTATTTAAACATATTTGCTGACAGATGACCAAAAATGGTCATGCCATAATAATATTATGATCAACGAGGATATTCTAAAAAAAAGGACTAAAAGTGGAATGCCACTTATAAATCTAGGACAAAAAAAAAAAGAATTAACACTTATAATTGAATAGACCAAAATGACCTTGTATTTAATGCTATCTAAACGATTTTATTGACAGAGGACTAAAAATGATTATACCGCAATAATACTATGACCAAACGAGAATTTTTATTTTTTATTTTAAAAAAAAAAAGATTAAAAATGAACTGATAACACCTATAAATCTAGGATCTAAAATGAATTAACTCTTTTTTTAATAAAGAAAACCTTATGTTACGCCGTTACGGATGAGCAGTGAATTTTCTTTGCCCTTTTCATTGGTTAAATTAAAATACATTGTTGAGAAAAACATGTCCAAAACACTAAAAAAAAAACGTAATTTGCTGACCTCAAACTCTGCAAATTAGCCAACCTTAATTGACCTTCTGAGTTTTTGTTGAAAAATAAAATGGAAACAATTCTCCCTACTTTTGAAAAATGTTGCAAATAATATCCAGTAATTACGGAGTGTTTCACTAATATTAGGTAACTTATCTGAAAGGTTAGAAACAAAGGGAAAATAGGGCTGTCGCTAATTTTGCTAATGAAGCCTTTATTTTCGTAAGCATTTTCCTATTTTTTATTTAGATTTTGGATAACAAAGAGGAGTTCACCGGAAAATAACACTAATCCAATCAAGCTCTAGGTTAGGTTCTCGTACAGACAGTGCTACTCGTGCGATCGTTCGATCACTCATAATTAGGTACGTATAAAATGCAATACAAAGTGTTCAGAAATGCATCATTACGTGATATGTGGTGTGGTGCATTTTTTTTTTTGTGTGTGGTGCATTTTTTGTGTGCGGTGCATTTTATTTTGTACATTGGTGCATTTAATTGTAGTGTATTTCCAAACATTGTATGGTGCATTTTTGCATATCTAATGGGGAATCCACACCGGTAGCACTATCCGTATTTGAACCAGTATATATATATATATATATATATATATATATATATATATATATATATATATATATATATATATATATATATATATATATATATATCCCGTGCGGTTAAATGCTTCCCGTGCGGATGTGCGGTGGATTAATGTGCGTGAGATTTGTACTCAATATGCGTGAGTGTTGTGCTTAATATGCCTGAGATTTGTACTTAATATGCGTGAATGTGTAAAATGCAGTAAAAATATTGATTTCAGCTTCTTTCCCATCCTCAGTAGCCATTTCCCCCTCCTTGATGATGATGATGCGGAGGCGAGCTATGGTGGTTAAAAATTATGGGAATAATACAACAGAAATCCACACTTAGCTGATGTGCAAATTTTACTATGCGTACGTCATTTATATAAACATTCAAATGCACTGAAGGTAGTTGATAATTTAGAATCCATGACCAAATTGAAGGAAGAAGTAACAAGAAGCTTGGGCGTTAATGTGCGTGAGTTTCTGTTCTGCTTCCTTCTGAGCTCGTAATTCTGAAATACGCACGCACATTAAACA